AGATCAATCTGGCTGTTCTCTTGAGAACAGAGGGAGGGAAGGGCAAAGGATGAAGCAAAGAGCCTTTATAATAACTCAGACCTGAGGTAATGGTGGTTTATACCTCCATGAGTGTTAGGGGTAGATGTGATAAGATATATTTTGAAGGTAGAGCCATTAGGGTTTGCTATGAATCGGATGTGGGATGAGAGAGAGAAGGGAGCTGAGAATGACTGAAAGGGTTTTGGCCTGTGCCACAGGAAAGATGAAGTTGTTATTTATAAAATGGGAAGACTATGGGAGGAGTTGGTGATGAGGGAGTTAGGTTTTAGACATGTTAAGTTTGAGATGTCTACTTAACATCTCAAACTTAATGGAGAGGTTTAGTTGGCAGGTGAATATAAGTGTAAGGGAATAAGTCCAGGCTGGAGGTATAAATGTAGGAATCATTTGCATGCAGTTGGTCCTTCCAAAAGTCTGTCCTTGAGTGAGTGGGCTGGAAACGGTCACCAATTATGCCACGGGGATTGTCTTCCGGCAAAGCCTAATTCTTCTGCCTTCCCCTCTGCCCCCCCCAAGGAGAGAAGATGGGGCTCTCGATCTTTGCCCTGCTGACTCTTACTGTGTTCCTGTTGCTGCTGGCAGACAAAGTGCCTGAGACCTCCCTGGCTGTCCCCATCATCATTAAGTACCTCATGTTTACCATGGTCCTCGTCACCTTCTCAGTCATCCTTAGCGTTGTTGTTCTCAACCTGCACCATCGCTCACCTCACACCCACCGAATGCCCCTTTGGGTCCGTCAGGTAAGAGCATCTCCTCCTCTAGCTTGTATTAACTCTTAATCTTAGTATTTGGCTTTTTGTCCAGGTGTGACTTCTCCCTCCTACCACTTCAACCTTCCCTCTCACAGACCTGAGGGAGAACTACAACTCTTCATGGACTGTTGAAGTGCCAAGGCCTGCTGGGTGTCCAAACGTTGCACAATTACATTTGCCCTCCCATCATTACCATTTCATAGGTCCCACACTCTTGCCGTAGACCAGTTCCAGCATGTCATAATTTCAAGAGTTTCATCAAAAGGTTGATGAGACTTGGGGACTCAACAGGGTTGAGTCACACATGTCGTCACCTGTTGGGAATGGCTAAAGGCATTTCCCCAAACCTGAATAGGAAACTGATTGTGGCTGCCAGACAGCTAAAAGGCATCTTAATCTACATGTTATTGCCTCCTACTGGCCAAACACCTGAACAGCCGTAGGCTAATTCCCCCATACTGACAATGGGCTCTGTACCAAACCCTGACCCTTTGAAGTGTATATCTCTGCCTCGCCTCAGGACAAGTTGTGTTAATAAGAAGCATGGGGTCCTGGGGATGAAGAGAGAACCTAAGGCCTTACCAGTGGTTCTCAACCTTCTGGCCCTTTAAATACAGTTCCTCATGTTGTGACCCAACCAAAAATTATTTTTGTTGCTACTTCATAACTGTAATGTTGCTACTCTTATGAATCGTAATGTAAATATCTGATATGCAGGATGGTCTTAGGCGACCCCTGTGAAAGGGTCGTTCGACCGCCAAAGGGGTCGCGACCCACAGGCTGAGAACCGCTGCCTTAGACTTAAGATCTTAGAACTTAGCTCCTTTAGCTAAGCTCCTCTGACCCCCAAAATGCCTTACAAAATTATATTTCGTCTCCGGACTTTTTATTAGTCTCTGGATTCCTATGTCATCTATGCACAGCCCCTTCTCCAGATTCCTGAACCCTTCTTGATGCTGGGACAAGAACCCCCGCACACTCTCATCATCAATACGGCCCATCCAGGGTCCCAGGGAAACAGGGAAACATCCTCAGGGTTAGGTACGCAGATGGTAGAGCCTCATAACCTTCCTCTCCAGTCCACTTAGGAGTTCTGAAGGCTGTGTGGTTGCCTCTCCCTGCCTGTGGAGCTCTGGGGGACATATGCGCACATGCTTAGGAATGGGCATGTGGTGTGGGGGTGGTTGGCTGTTTCCCTTCTGGTCTAAAAGCATGAGAGCCCCCTCCAACACGCCTCTTCTACTCCCGCAGATCTTCATCCACAAGCTGCCTCTGTACCTGGGCCTGAAGAGGCCCAAGCCTGAGAGAGACCAGATGCCGGAGCCACCCCCTGCAGCCCTCAGGGAGTCTCCGGGGAGTGGCTGGGGTCGGGGAACAGATGAATACTTCATCCGGAAGCCACCGAACGATTTTCTCTTCCCCAAACCCAACAGGTAGAACCTACTCAGAGAGGGAGAACTACAATTCCCAGAAGTCTGTGCGGGGGCAGGCGGTCTCAGCTCCCCAAAGATGCTGAGCATCATGGGAGTTGTAGTATCCCTTCTGCTGCCCACTTTGCTGAAAGGTGGAGACTACGCCATAGAGACGGGAGGAATTACAGGAGGCTGGCGAAGTCACTGCCGCCGGCGGGGAGAGCCTGAAAGCGTTTGCAAAGGGGCAGGATGTTGGGGCGGGGGCTGTAGCCCGAACGCAGGCTGTGTCTTTGCACCCGGGACCTGACCAAACGGTCCCGCCTCTTCCAGGTTCCAGCCTGAATTGTCTGCCCTGGATCTACGGCGATTAATCGATGGTCCAAACCGGGCTGTGGGCCTGCCCGCCGAGTTACGGGAGGTCGTTTCCTCGATCAGTTACATCGCTCGACAGCTGCAGGAACAGGAGGACCACGATGCGGTAAGTCCGGTGAGGGTGGAGCAGGGCACAGCCTTGGCTCCACCCTCAAACTCAGGCTCCGCCTCGAATATTACGTTTCTATTTTTGATTGGAAGCTTCCTCATTTGGTCCCGCCCCCTGTTTTCCGACTGGTTCTTTTTTTCCCTTTTTAAATCCGACTGGTTCTTTACTGTCACCAATCGTTGGTAGTTTCGCAGCCTGCCCTAATCTCAGAGCTGTTGTAGGAGGACCCAGACAGGGTACAGGGACTTGCGGGGTGGCCTTCCCTGGGGTCTGGAGCTCAGGGACAGTTTTCTCTGCTTACCCCCAGTTGAAGGAAGACTGGCAATTTGTGGCCATGGTAGTGGACCGCCTCTTCCTGTGGACCTTCATCATCTTCACGAGTGTCGGGACCCTCGTCATCTTCCTGGACGCCACATACCACTTGCCCCCGCCCGACCCCTTTCCTTAGGACCTAGAGTCAAGACCTAAGTCCTCGGTCAGCTGAATTGAGAGTTTGGCCCTGTCCCTTTCTGCCTCTTAACTCCTTCACTAGGGATCCAGTCGTGTCATTTTGTTTCCAGGGAGAACCTAAGTGGGAGTGGGCATACGGAAGCCTTGGGCCCACCAGAAATGCACTATCAGTTTATTTACTCTTTGGCTTCTTAAAGAAACTCTTTTGACTATCAACACCCAGGTTCCCAGTAAAAAGGAACAAAGAACAAGAATGAGACTGTAAGCCTTATGAGTGCAGGAACTGTGTCTTGTACCCCCAGCACCTAGCACATGTCCTGCTTAATATTTGTTGAATAGATAGGGAACTTTTTTCCTGGAAGGAAATACACCAATTAATAGCACTTATGTTTGCATGTTGGGACTAGTGGTCATTTTTGTTTTTACCGTTCTGTAACGTAATATGTTTTGAAATAAGTATTATCTTTAAGATAAGTATTTCTAAAAGGATGTATTTGTAAAAAGGAGAAAAATCGCACTTAAAAAATCTTCAAGTTCCAGCTTTGGTGCTTAAACTTTGGACAAGCTACTAAACTGCGCTAAGTTTCTAAATCGTACAGTGGAGCTAATAATAGTATCTGCCCCTTACTCTAAGGATCATATGAGAAGACCAGAGGCCCAATACACGAAATTCGTGCAAGAGTAGGCCTTCCTTCCCCTGGCTGCCGGCACCGGCTTCCCTCTGGCACCCGGGACCCAGTCTTCCCTCGCAGCCCAGGCTTCGTCCAGAAGGTCATCCTGAAGGACATCTGTTCTAATTAGCATATTACAATTTTATAATTATAGATGGGAACAAAAGCACTATGTAGTATGTATCAGAGGTTGTAAACTTGTGTTTTGTTTGGCCCATGGCATTGGCCTGAATAATTTTTTTTTTAATCCTCACCTGAGGATATTTTTCCATTGATTTTTAGAGAGCGTGGAAGAGAGAGGGAATGACAGAGAGAAATGTTGATGTTAGAGAAACACATCGATTGGTTGCCTCCAGCACAAGCCCCAACCAAGGCCGGGAGCCTGGGAGGAGTGGGGGGAAGCCTGCAACCAAGGTACGGGCCCTTGACTGGAACTGAATCCGGGACCCTTTGGTCCACAGGCCGACGCTCTATCCACTGAGTCTAACCGGCTAGGGCTTGGCCTGAATAATGCTAAATTTAAATTAGTTAGCTAATTTTAAAATTTGGGTATTTCACAGAGAAATTTGGATTTCTGGTTCCTCTTGAAAAAATTTTAAAAACCTACAGTAACACCAAGCCTGATTCCCCTGTTGGCAGCAACCTGCAAGAGCTCATTAGTGGCTGCCCACTCTGATCAATTCCTCAAAGTCCCCACCCACCTGACCAGCTTCACTCATTTTACTTACCCATCCCTCCTCCGTAACACTAGACAAAATACAGGGGAGGGCATGGGGGACAGGAGTTGAAGCCAATGGGAGGGTAGGAGTGGAAAAAAGAAAGGTTGTTGTGTCTCTTATGGCCATCCCATATTTTGTGCCTGTTTCCTTTCAATTTGGAGAAAGGGTTACACCTGCTTTAAGGCGATGCCTTTCTGGGACATGAGGATCTTGTGCCCAGCAGGCTGTGTGAACTGAACGGAGTTTAATGCTTCTGCCTGGAGGTCAGACCAAAGTCGGCTGGAGCCTAGTAGGCTGCTGCAATTACAATGAAGTACCTGCCTCACACCAACTCAATTGCTGGAGGTTGTTGTCCTAAGAGGGAGCATAGGGCTACAACTCCCACGGATCCCTGTGGGACAAGGTCAGCACGTCCCTGTCCAGCCAGACCCACCGACCACACAAATAATTGCACCTGGCATCCCACTGCGGAGCACAGTTTGTTTGTCTTGTTGGTTTATTGGCCTAGAGAGTTGGACACACACACAAATGCGGAGATAAATATTGGTCAATTTCTCTAAATCTGGGTCCTCACTACATATAGAACTAGAGTCTGTAGAATTCTAAATCTCGCGTGCTGTGGCACAGAACCAGTGGCCTTCCTACTCCACCATCACCCTTCTTCCCAGGGAACATGAGGAAAGGGCACAAACTGACAAGACGATACTTTTCAAAAGATGAAATTGCAAAACCCCCAATTTCCAACATCTGAAATTCACAATATTCAAGTTCCCCATGTCTTTTCATCGCCATTTTGCCACAATCTCATTTGTTGCCCAGAACCACCGAATTCTGGAAACTTTTCCCTAAATCATATTTTCAAAAAAATAAATGTCTACAATCTCAGTTCTCCCAAAATGGTTTTAGAATTGTGACCTGCAGAAATTACAATTCCCTGGTCCATCCTCCACCCCTTCCATCTCCTGTGCCTTTCTGCCTCAGCGGTTCAGGTTAAGGATATAAGGGGACTGTCATCCCATCTGGCCCCTGCCTCCAAGGCCTTCCTCAGTCTCTCTTGTGGTTCCGCTGTGTGTGTATATATATATATAATCTGTGTGTAGATATAGATATATATATATATGTATTCTTTATTATGTACTTTTTTCGCAGTTTTTCTAAAGTGCCAGAAACAAGATTTGTGGGAACGTTTTAGTGATTTTTTTTTTTTGCATTTTTCCCTGTTTAAAAAAATTTTTTTTCTCCCATAAAAATTGGAACTTGGTACATTCAGTAGGAAAACTCTTCACTCGGACTGTGGCCAAGACCAAGAAAAGTGCAAAGAGACAGAGGAGTAGTGAAGGAGCGACACTCCTCCATAGTTAACATTCAGGGAGCCTGTCAAGAACCTCCCCCTTTGTGTAGTCTGGGAGGGTAAGAGGAGGCAGGAGGATGCTCCTGTGCCTTCCCCCAAATTCACCTCCCTCTAAAAGCCATGATCTTGCCCTTTCAACATCTTTTGAGAGGGCAGCCATCTTGGCCCCAGAAAACAGTAGCTGGGAAAAAGGCTGCCATTTTGATGATAGCAACTTTCCCCTTTTCTAAAACTGCACTCCTCTAATTCCCATTTTTCAAATTTGCTCCCCAAAACTGGCTCTCCCCTTATGAGCTGGGTTTTTTTGGGTGAGGTGGGTTAGATGGGAAATGCTCATCCAATCACGGAGTGGGGAGGCCCTGTTATCACAGAATTAGGAGCAAATGTTTCTCCAACAACCCACTGGAAGGAAACATAGGGACCCTGACCAGGGTTAACTAGTGCAAATTAGGGATTAGGGACTATTTAAGGTCCCTGCACCCCATCCCTAGGCTGGGATCTTTGGGTGTGGGGAACTGAATCAGAGATGGGGTATAAGGTGCTATTTTGGAGGGGAAATTGGTGGGGATACCCCAAAGCCCACCAAGGGAATAGTATGGTTTCCCCAAAACCATCTGGAGTGATTGGTGAGGGAAGTGGTACTGGGACAGATGGGGGTAAAGGTAAGGATGGGAGGTCATGTGCAAATCTTGAGCTTACCCACCCATCCAACCCCCATTATTTTTCTGGCTATTTGGTCTAGTCTGGGAGAAACCATCAGGAAGAAAAAAAAAAAAAACACAGGGAAAAAGTAGATTCCCTTCCCCATTCCATATGGAGGTCCTCCCTCCTGGCCCCCAAATCTGGCTTAGCCCAGAAGAGGCCATAGGTAGAGGCAGAAAGAGATGTGATCTACTCACCTCTTTTGCCTTGGAAGAATCTGGGACTCACTGGATTTGGGGGTCAAGATAGAACCAAGATTGGTGCTGCCCTGGGCTGGGAAAGAAACAGATGGGTAGCCCTCCTCCCCAACACCCCCTTGACCTGGATTGGAAGAGGCCATCTCCAGAGTCTTGGAGTTTGAGGAGGGATATGGAAGATCCAAAGGCATGGAAGCCAAGGAAGGCATGGCATCTTTACGTGAAGGAAAAAGGGACACAGAAATCCACCATCGGAAGATAGAATCCAAAGCCAAGCTCCCATGTGGGTGGGTGTCAGGTATCACAATGGTCTGGTCCAGGCCCTGGGCCAAGAATGGAATGTGCTAGGAAGCATCTGGGCAAGGGCTTAGAGAACGCTTCAAAGGAGGGAGGAGCGTAGGGAAGAGAGATGGTTTCCCCCTAGGAATACGAATCAGGGGGGCGGGTTAGACATTCAGAGCTGGTGGGGGCCATGAGTAGAGATTCATGTAAGTATATTGCTCAGTTGCCCCGAGGGCTGGCCAAGGGAATGGGAGCTGGCCCTGCCCCTTATGGAGGTCATTCCCTGGAGGAGAACCGAGAGGGGAACCACCAAAGATCCCTTCCCAGGAGATAGGAAAACTACAATCTCACACAAAGCAGCCTGACCCCTGAGCTCCAGGGGCCCCTAAGTCCCTGCACAAGAGTGTGGAGGGGCTCCCAGGGGGCAAGGAGGCCAGGGAGCTGGTAGTGGCGGGGGGTTCAGGGAGGGTGGCATCTGGTGAAAGGGGAGATCTGGGTCCAGAGCTCACCCCACATCTCCCTTTTGGGTTCCTTCAATCCCTGCCCATTCCCCTTCTCCCTTAGGGGGGACTGGTGGAGGAAGAGTTTGGGGAGGCGGAGTTGGGGGCGTAGGGGGTACTGCTTGAGGATTGACTGCGTAGCCAAAGACCCCTGGTAGGAAAGGAAGGGCTCCCCCACCCTTCTCATCAGGTAGGACCATGTTAAGAGCAACTGGGAGCGCAGCCAAGTTGCTGAAGTTGTAAGGGTAGGCAGCAAGGAGCTGGGGGCCATAGACAAGGGGGTAGGGCTCGGGGTAGAAGGTGACTTTGGCAGCTCCTATCCCTTCCATTCGGTCCCCCTCCCCAGCCCCCACGGGCCCCTCACTGCCAGGCTTTCCCCGGCCACTACCAGGTTCCCGGCCGCTTCCAATCAGAGCCAGTGGGAACTCCTGCACAGGTGGGTATGCATAGGCGCCCGCTCCTGCCACCACTGGGAGCTCCTCACCCCCTGAGATGACAGGGTCCTGGACTGAGGTGGCCTCAGACGCTTCCTCCGCAGCAGCACTCCCGCCACCGGCCTCCCCGCTGGATGAGGAGACCTGCATCTCTTGGGGGGCCTCCTCCTTGACATCCCCGGGTCTGGTGCCAGTGCTGCCCTTGGAGTAGGCAATGACAGGTGTGGGGGTGCCCCCAGGCCTCTCAGCAGCATGCCTCTGCCCATGGCGGCTCAGGGCGGCGGCCGTCTTGCACACCTTGGCGCAGTGAGGGCAGGCGAAGCGTGTGGAAGACCTCCGTCCAGCCCGGGAGCTGTGGGAGCCCCCACCGTGGGCCTCCTGGTGCTTTCGCAGCTTCCTCTGGGTAGCGAATGTTTGGGCACAGTCCCCGCAGCGGTGCCTCCGCTCCCCGCAGGCACGCCCTGTGGGGGCCTCAGCCCCTGGGGTCTCCTCCCAGCTCCTCGGTTCCAGCTTCTGTCTCCAGCGTGGTGGCCTGCGGCCTCTGGGTATCCCGCTGCCCCCGCTGCCGCCTGCGCCTGCAGCTCCAGCCTTGCGCTTGGGCTTGTATGAGTAGTAGGGCCTCCAGAGTTGGTCCTCCCCGCCAGCCTTCGATTCCTCCTCCTCCTCCTCCTCGTCCTCCTCTTCATCCTCCTCCTCACTCTCCACTTCCTCTGCACTCAGTTCCCCAGGACGCAGGTCAGTTTCTGAGATGCGGCGCTTGACAATGGCCTCCTCACCAATCCGCACAGTGATCTGACACAGTGGAGGTGGCACCTGAAGCTGAGGCCCCCGGCCAGGCCCTGCGGGAGGACCCCCATCCCCGCCACTCCCGCCAGCCGGCTTGGCCATGTAGGTCAGAGTCCTTCCGGCCCGCAGGTTGCGGCCTTTGGTCTCCTCTGTGGCCGTGGCAGGCCCTGCAGGTGTGGCGGGGGGGCCCGCTGTGGCTGGGCTGGTTGGTGTGGGTGTAGGCACTGGGGGAGGAGGTGGGTACTCACGTTTCTTGGGGGGCCTCGGGGGAGCAGTGTAAGTGATGACCGAGGCGGCTTGGGCCCCACCGGTGTTGGCCAGCCCACTCCCTGTTCCACCACTACTACTGCCCCCGTGAACAATGACAGAGGGAGCCGGGTGGGCAAAAGTGATGACAGAGGGTGGGGGGCCAGGCTCTGGGGCAGGTGGGGGTCCAGCCGGTGGGCTGGCTGGCATTGCTGTAGGGGCCGGTGTGTTGAGGCTTGGAGAAAGAGGGGCCTCAGGGGCTCCCTGGCTGTAGGTCTTGTAGGGTCGCTTGGCTGCCCGCATGGGAAGCAGCCGGTACAGCTTGAGGGTATTGAGCTTGGGCTTGTAGCCTCCATTGGGTGTCTTCTCACTGGCTAGGAGGCCGGGGCTAATACCGTGAAAGGCTCGCTGGTGGGTCTTCAGGTTATAGTAAGTGACAAAGGTTTCCCAGCAGAAGATGCACTGGTACCTGGGCCGGGACAGAGGAAACAGGGGAGGGACAGAGCCAGTTGAGTCAGGAGCCCTGAAGCCAGGGCCTCAGCTTCCCGTAACCTCTACTGCCCTCCACTCAGACCTAGAACTCCCTCAGCCGCTTGCTCACCCTCCTTTCCTGCTGCTTATCCCACCCTGCCAGCCTGGGGGGGGTGGGGGGGGAGACACCACTCCTACCGAGCTCAGTGTCCCACCCCAGCGGTGAGACAGTGGGCCTCAGCCGTTCCATCTGTGAACTGGGAATAATCCCATACCTTGCCTAATTCACCAGGCCTTCCTTTAAGCTCAAATGACAGGGGAAATGTCTTATGAACAGGGACACATTATGGAAATACATATTATAACGACTGATGGGCATAGTCTTTTCCTGTGAGGGTAACTTTTATCCTTCCTCCTTGGTCTTCATAGCACCAAGCAGGGTCGTGGCACCTAGAGGTGCTAATAAGTATCAGCAGAAGGAGCTGGGGCTGAAAGGAGGCAGATGGGTAAGTGATGAGGAGCAGGTGAGCGGGGCCAGTGGTGAGCAGTAGTCTCAGGATGACTTCCTAGGCTCCATGCTCTGCCCACTCCCTCCCTTGCCCATGTGGTGCCCGAGTGCTGATGTTGACTCACTGCCCCCCCCCCCCCTTGCCCATGGGGTGCCCGAGGGCTGATGTTGACTCCCTGCCCCCCCCCCCCGCCCTCCCAGACACTCACCTGCGCTCCCCGGTGTGCCACACCTCGTGCTTGGTGCGGTACTCGGCCAGGGCGAACACCTTCTCACAGTAGCGGCAGGGGTACTTCCTCCGCCAGGAGTGGACATTACTGTGCCGCTTCAGGCTGGACAGGGTCACGTAGGAGCGCTCACAGGCCGCACACACATACAGCACGTGGCCGCCGACCACCTTCACCACGTGCTCTGGGCCACCTCTGAAGCCCACGGTGGCAGGCAGGGCTGAGGCGTCCATGCCTGTGGGGCCACTAGGGCCAGAGCCCCCGGCTCCCAGCCCCGCAGAGCCCCTCGCGCTGGCCCCCCGGCGGCACTGTGCTTCGTGGGTCTGGAGCCTCTTGGGATGAATGAAGCTTTTCCCACATCGGGGACAGGGCAGGGGCTGTCGGGACAGGGCAGGCTGCGAGTCAGGGCCCTGGGCCTCAGCCCTGTCACTCTCCCACTCCCTGGCTGGCCGAGGCCCAGGCCCAAAGCTGTCTTCTTCGGGCTGCGAAGTGGCCACGGGGGCTGGGGCAGGAGGTACCCAGGCATCACCTCCCTCCCCCAGGCCTTGTAGGCGGGAGATGCCCAGGCGCCGCCCCAGAGCTCCGATCTCTGCCACGGCTGCCCCATCCCCGCCACCGTCAGGTAGTGCAAGGCGGGCGCTGTAGATGAAGTTGAGGACATCGGAGAAGGCAGCTGCTGGGACCCCTGGCAGCTCTAGGACCCTGGGTGGGGAGGACGCGGGGGGCGAGGCTGGAGGCGGAGAAGAGGAGGAAGAGGAAGAGGAAGAGGAGGAGGCAGCTGTGGTGGTGGCAGGGTTAGGGGCTGAGCCCCCAATAACTGGTGGGAGGGGCAGTGGAGCTGAAGCAAGCAGGGCCTCTCTGAAGAAGGGACTCGAAGCAGCCAGGACGCTGCGGTGAGCAGGAAACTTGGTGTCTCCGGCTATGAGGGTGACATCACAGAAGAGGCCACGGAGCCGCTGTTCATTGAGCTGGCGCAGGACAGCGGGGGCATGGGATGGGTCCGTCACCTCTGCTGGGGGGGGCATGGCACCAGCCTAGACAGAGGAGAAGAAGTCAGGGGAGCATCTCAGAGGCTGGGCAGAGAGCAGGGGCCTCAAAACTCAGGGAGGTGAGCTGGGGGGTGGGGGTGGGGGGCCAAATGTTGTTGGTCAGAGACTAGTGGAAGGCTGACTAACTTCCGATCACAGAAGTCAGGGGTTAACCTTAGCCACCCACGTCTGGCCAGCATCCAACACCAGTATGTCAGACATCTGGGGCTGGAAGATGCCAGGGACACCTCAGGTCTTGATGAAGGTCCAAGGTTAAAACCTCCAGAGTCACAGGCTAGAAAAATAAGCAACGGACACCTCTTTCCCACTGAACTGATGACCATTTCATAAGCCTCGCAAGGCTAGACAAAATGGCTGGCCTGCTGCCTCAGGTCCAAATTTTCCCAGCTGCAGACCTCTCACCGCCTCACCTGAGAGCACAGCCACCATGGAGCAGAATGAGGGTGGCTCAGCAAGTCCCTTCGGCCGGGCCTCTTCCCTCTGTGAAGGAACAAACCATGTCCTCAGTAAGAGACCTGAAATGGGAGGCACCCCAGGAGCTTGCGGGTGGGAGAGTGCTCAGGGTCAAAGAGGACACGGGCTGCTCTGCAGACCCTGACCCTCCCCGGGGCCTCTGTCAGCGATTTGCTTAGCCACAGCCAGCGGGACCTAGGAGGCCACACAGAGTCGTGCAGCCTTGTTCCGCTGGCCCCATCAGCACAGGAACAAGATCATTTGCATATTCCCAATTCAAAACACACAGCAGCTTCGCGCAGTCCTCTAGGTCTGTTGGATCACTCTCAAGTCCCTTTGGCCCAATCTTAAAGTTCAAAGGAAGTCAAACATTTGCATATTGTCTTTTTTATAATGGCTTCATTTACATATCAAAATAGATTTACTTGAGACTTTTTATTGGACCAAGCTGCTAGATATTCAAATTAGGAAAGGACCTCCTCTCACAGGTGCCAGCCCCATAAATCTTTGAGGGGATTTCTGGCCCAGGTGCCAGGGGACCACCAAAGACCAGTGCCCAGCTTGCTCCAGCCTCTGGAGGGACTGGAAAGGCCACCAGATCAGGAGTGAGGAAACTTGGGTCCCACTCCTTACTCTGAGAGCTAGGGGTCTTAGGACTTTGGCTTTAAAATAGGGGTTGTGGCCCTAGCTGGTTTGGCTCAGTGGGTAGAGCGTCGGCTTGCAAACTAAAGGGTCCCAGGTTCGATTCCAGTCAAGGGCACATGCCTGGGTTGCGGGCTCCATCCCCAGTAGTGGGCGTGCAGAAGGCAGCCAATCAATGATTCTCTCTCATCATTGATGTTTCTATCTCTCCCTTCCTCTCTGAAATCAATAATAATAATAAAAAAATAAATAAAACAGGGTTTGCGGGAGGGGGTGGGACACAACTCCTATCTCACCTCTTTCTGGGAAGCTCATCCAAAAGGAATAGCAGGCACCCCAAAGGCGAGCTGTGGCAATCACCACCCAAGGCGCGTCACAGCCGCTCTCTCCCCTGTGGGCACAGCCAGGGCTTTGGAGTTGCATTTTTCAGTTGAAGATCTAAGTTCGAGAGCCATACAGTGACTTAGCCAAAGTCACACAGAGCTGATAAAACAGGTGGGGCCTGTGCACAGAGCCAGGCCTACTGACCTGAGAACAGAGCTCCTGGCCCCTCTCGTCCGCCCTGGGAGCGATCTCCTTCGGATGCCCTGGGTCACACGCTCTCTGACGTGTCCTGCGTCAGGAGTTCCCCCCACAGTTCACACCACCCCATAAAAACCTTATCTTCCCACGTAGTAATCACACTATCTTGATTAAAAGGCCTTCCCTCCGAAGTCCATTTCCATTCCCCAAAATACTGCTCTGACTCCTCCCCTGGAGAAGCAGGTGATAAACAGAGGTGAACGCACAAGTTCAACGGCTCCAATGGCCGGGCCCAGACCTGGGTCGGTGCTACCCGTCAGTTGCTGGATTGCAGGTGGGTCTGGTTGTCACGTGAGGAAAGAGAGCATTCCCTCCCGTGACAGCCATCGGCCCACTGGGACCCCCAAGGGTCAATGCTTTACTTGCATTACCTCATTTACTCCTTCCTCTTCACTACCCTAAAAAGTAGCTTAGCTTCCCCATTTTATTTTTAAATATATTTTTATTGATTTTAGAGAGAGGAAGGGAGGGGGATAGATAGAAACATCGATAAGAGAAACATCAGATCAGCTGCTTCCTGCACGCCCCCTATTGGGGATGGAGCCTGCAACCAGGGCATGTGCCCTGACATGGAATCCAACCGTGACCTCCTGATTCATGGGCCAACGCTCAGCCACTGAGCCACACTGGCCAGGCTAGCGAGGGTTAGAGAGTTAGAAACATCGATGAGAGAGAAACATCGATCAGCTGCTTCCTGCACACCTCCCACTGGGGATGTGCCCGCAACCAACGTACATGCCCTTGACCGGAATCAAACCCGGGACCCTGCAGTCCACAGGCCGACGCTCTATCCACTGAGCCAAACCGGTTAGGGCAGTGGTCGGCAAACTGCGGCTCTTGAGCCCCATGCAGCTCTTTGGCCCCTTGAGTGCGGCTCTTCCTAAGCCTTAGGAGTACCCTAATTAAGTTAATAACAATGTACCTACCTATATAGTTTAAGTTTAAAAAATTTGGCTCTCAAAAGAAATTTCAATCGTTGTACTGTTGATATTTGGCTCTGTTGACTAATGAGTTTGCCGACCACTGGGTTAGGACAGCTTCCTCATTTTTAAGTGACCAACTGAGGCTCAGAGGTGCTAGGTAGCTCACTCAAGAATATATGAGCAGTTAGCAGGGCTGGCACCTGATCCCAGGAAGTTTGGCTCCAAAGCCTGTGTTCTTGACTATACCAAACCAGGGTGAAGGGCTTGTTTACAGCTATGAGCTATGCTATTCTGATATAATAGGAATATATATATTTGGTCTTCATCTCCATGACAGAGCGCCTCTAAAACTTGAAATTTCCTAAGTGGTAAGAGCATTAGGAGCATCTTTTGTTCTAATGGTTGGTCTTTGATTCTGCTTCCTGACACCAAGCTCCTAAATCCCTGGGGACTTCCTGGGTGACAGGAACATTTTTTTTGTTCTAATGAGGTGACTGCTGGTGGACTCCTGGGTAGGGGCTCGTCACCAGAAAGACCAAGCCATGATAGAAGCTTGGAACTTTCAGCCCCACCCACCCCCAACTTCTGGGGAGCGGAGAGGGACTGGAGACTGAGTTAATGATTGATCATGCCTACGTGATGATGGCTCCATAAAAATTCCTAAACTACGGGGTCAACAGAGCTTCCAGGTTGGCAAACACATCCACCTGCTAGGAGGATGGCGCATCACAACTCTTCGGAGACAGAATTCTGCTCCTGCGCTCAAGACCCTTCCAGACTTGTCCTGCCCATCTCCCCATTGTCTATTCGTCTCTATTATCATATGCTTTATTATCACCAGTAAACATAAGTATTTCCCTCAGTCCTGTGAGCCATTCTAGCAAATTATCAAATCTGAGGAAGGGGTCATGGTAAACCCCAATTTATAGCTGGTCAGTCAGAACACAGGAGGCCTGGATTTGCAACTGGCATCTGAATGGGGGGCGTTCTTGTGGGACCGAACCCTTAACCTGTGGGACGTGACACTATTTCCAGGTAGTTGGTGTCAGAAGTGAATTGCAGGACACTCAGTGAGGGGAAAACCCACACACTTGATGTCAGAAATGTGAGTAGAGGACAGAAAAATAGTTGTGTTTTTTTTTCAACAGCCCACGTTAAAATTAGAGGAGAGGCCCTTCCTCCAGGAAGTAGCAGCCCTGCAGTGAGCAAAGCAAAGGTTCAATTCCAGCCCCCACACACTCGCGTGGCCAGGCCGGCCCACCTGCACCCATACCGGCCTGGCGCCCGCTGAGGCGTGGTGCCTGCTGAGCGTGGCTGTGTTGACTTGGACAAGGCCCATTGAGGCTTCTTAGAACCAGAGACGTCCAAAGCTGGCCTGGCCCTCAGAGATCACCTAGAACGGCGGTCGCCAACCTCTCAGGCCTCACGGACCACCAGTGGTCCCCAGACCACCGGTTGGCGACCGCTGACCTAGAAACATCATAATCATGGTACGTACTTGTAGCTGCCATTTATGAAATACTTATTATGTCCCAAGTACAGAGCTAAGCGTTTTATCTGCATCATCGCATTTCAACACTCAAAAAGGACCATAGTAAGGCAGGGGCTGTCATCAACCCCACTGCACAGATGAGGAAACTGAGGCTTTAAATACTCTACACGCTTCACTTTCAGGTACAGTGAACACGGTAGCAGTGTGATTTGCCCCTGGTCTTACTGCTAACCAACCAGAGTTTGAACCCAGCTCTGCTGAGTTCAACTGCCCCACCACGGGCCACTGCACAACAAGGGCTTGTGGGAGGTGGAGAAGAACTAGCTATATGACTCTGGGCAAGTTACTTAACCTCCAGTATCTCAGTTTCCTTGTCTATGAGAAGGGAAAAGTCCCCACTTTGTATGGTTATTCTGAAGAATAAGTGAGCTGATAACTGGTAGAACCTAGAAGAGCACCTGGCACACAGTAAATGCTCAGTAAGCGCTCACTCTTATCATCATCTTAGAACGTCGTCCCAGAAAATGATGCGGGGAAGTGAAGAAAGAGAAGCAGAAATCAGGCTTCACGGTAGGTTTGGTGGCTCTGTGGTTTTTAGTTTATTTGTTTTTACTGCTTCTCTACTCTTGACTGGCGGTGTGGCCTTAGAGGTGTGACTGAGATGGGCATCCGAGCACGGCCACCAGACACTCCGCCTCCTGCTGTTCCCTTTGCCTGGAATGTTTTCTCAGCCTCATGCCTTGCTGCCCCTCCTCCTTTAAGTCTAGACTCAAAAGCC